GTAAAATCTCGATTTTGACAACCTTGGTGACAACAATGTCTACTAGGAAGGGGCAAGAGAAAAGAATAGGACGAAGAAAAGAGAAAAGCAGAAGGTTGGAACTGGTAGGAAAATAGACAGGCAGTAGATCTTAACTTGATCTGAGCTGAGGCACTTTAGTAGTTGCCAAGGCATATTTGTAAGGGCCTGATATCTATTGGAATGAAGTTGTCTTTAGGGTAGAAGAAGGTTAAGCAGCAGTTATGAAATGAAAACAAAATTAAGGTGTCAATTAGTTTAGATTAGCATATTAACCCTTTTTTTATAAAAAAAAAAAAAAAAAAAAAAAAAAAAAAAAACCTGTATCACAGCACATATAAACTACATCAAAATTGTAAGTAATTCATGGAGTTTCCAAGCTCATCAGAAAAATATGATTAAACATGAAAAAGTTAAAAAGAACTTTGCAACATCATTCTTAATAGTCATTTTCTTAGATTCCAAAAAGAATCAACAACATTACAAAAAGAAAAGGTTAAGATGGGTTGATGACCTCACAGTCAAATGCATTTGCTGATAGAATAAAGAAAATTTTGAAAGCATAAAGCACATTGAGTAATGAAGTTTATAGTTTACCATGTGATCTCTAGAATTGGGCCGCCTCTGGAACACAAACTCATCAAATTCAAAGACAGGCAGCAACTCCACTGCATTGATTCCAAGTTCTAGGAGGTATGGGATCTTAAAAGCTGAATTTAAAAGGCTGTCAGATAAATGTAATACATGAAAGAGACCAACTAAGAAGTCAACATTAACTTTTAGAATCTAACAAATATGATTTATGAATTGAAAACAGGAAAAAATATACTCAGGATATTAGATATTAGGATTACGGGGAAAAAAAAATCCAAAGCCTCTAGTAGGTTTTGATTATTTCAGACATCTTACTAGGATTAAAACCCTAAATTGTCCAATCACACTGAGGATTTTTCTTTTGATGGGAAGAAAAGAAGATTAGGAGATGAAATACATGTTATTGGGATGCAATGAATGAATCATTACCTTCTCAATCACACCAAGGTAGGGGCCATGTATCTCTGGATACAAGCCACTTGATTCATCAGCTGTAAATGCACAAACATTCATTTCATATATATAATAAGATCTTTCTGCAGAGACAATTTGGGGGGAAGGTGAGGGAATCAGTAAAGACAGCAAACCTTCTCACAAATTCGTTGACAGTCAACAAAATTACTTTGTCTGCCCAAAAAAAAAAAAAATTAAAGATAAAAAAGGCTTGATACCTAAGGTACATTTGGGAGTTTATAGTTGTCTTCCCATTCAAAAGGCAAGCTATCAAAATCTTAAGTTCAAAGAAATTTTGATAGTTTATGGATTTGATCTCCAAAATATGGACGCCCATCAACAAGCTTTGCATAAGGGTCTATAAGCACAATACTGCTATCAAATCAATGTCCTTGATCCCAATCTTTTGGACCATACGTGCGAAAGCCATAGAGGACATTACTCTGAGGCAAATCCTTTATTTTTGGCAGTAAGTTTAATAGGACAAACAGAAACCAACACTAAAATAAGACCCTCTCAGATTGTATGGCAGAATTCTAAGTAATGCTACAGTGAACTGTTAAGTACATATAGAAAGCATAGTAATGGAATGACTTGCTTCTAACTTTGGAAACCATAGAAAGTTTTCTTGGGTATCCTGATGGTTTTAATCATTTCATCATCTAGGCTTTCAAGCTCTCCCCTAAGAAAACTTATGCCAACAAAAGCATGAGGCTTGCAATGAAATAAATGAAATTATACCAGCTTGAAATCAGTTCAAGAAAACCCCATAGGAAAATACAAGCCCACTTATAGAAATTAAAGACAATAAAAATTTAAAACATTTGCCGAAAACAAAGTTATCTATCTCATGTATCACAACTAGACCAATAAAGCAAGGAGAAAGGGCATTCTCACCTTTGAGGAAGTGACAAGCGAAGAGTAACTGCAATTGCATGCTGTGAGAAAATGGCAAAATTGATCCCATTATCAGCTTCTGATACACCAAATGGAGATGCCAGGCCCTGGAAAGTTATAAAAGACAGGACAGTTTCTGCCATTTGAGGGACTTCTTCCTGGAATTACAAACAATTACATGGATTAATCTCATGCCCTCTGAAAACATATAGTAAAACTTAGCTAAAATACTAGTAAAATATTTAAGATTAACGAATATATTAATCAAGACAGGTACAGAATTACTTACTAAGAGAAAAAAAAAAAGGTATATCCAAGCAACATAATATGAAGATAGAAATCACCAAGGATTGTCAAAAATTTGAGTACATATCATGCAGCAATCATAAAAATAGTAGGCAATAGAGTACCTCAAGTATGCACTCTTGTGCCCGATGGCCATAAACATCAGCTGTCCTGTGTTTCAGTCAGCCCCTTGGTCTAGCGTATGTCAAAATCCGAGACACATTTCAACAATAATTCAAAATGGATAGCACCTTGATGCTTAAACATGATAGAAGAATACACATGGCTTCCTAGTCTTTCCCTGCTGCTAACCGATGCTGTTCTACTCAACTTCAAACTAAGAAACACATAAATTAACCAAGTCAAACTTAAGACAGCACAAAAGTAAACATCCCTCCTTGCTAGCTCCACCCGCGCACCATTTTCTTCGAAATTACGAAGATTTACTTGCTACTTTTTCTTTCTTAAAATGCCATAAAGAACTCATAAAATTGAAAAAAAAGGAAAATCAAACTGCGATTCTTACCAAATTCAACAGTGGACCAGTTAGACTGGTTAAATCATATAATTTAACCAAATGATGTCATAAATAATTTTTTATAAATTATATATAATAAATAAAATGTTAAGGCAAAGTAAACACAATAGTTAGAGGCTGGATAATAAGAGTAATATTTAACCATTGATGGGTTGCAACTTTGAGGCACTTTGATATCAATTTTATATTTTTATATCATTTGATTTATAAAGAATTAGATTTGATGCAAAATATTTCATCAAGATTCATTTGTTATGTGGTGAAGCACTTCAATTTCAAAATTGAGGATAAAAGTTCGAAACCCAACAACATCTCACTCCTATTTCTTCTTAAAACAATGAACTGATCGGTAAGTGTGCAGGGGTTTTGTCGGTTTTATCCTAATCAACTCTACAAATGAGTTTAAGGTATTGTCCGAACTAAATTTGTAACCAAATATGATTTAATTAGTTCAACCGACAAGGTCAGTCCGGTTTAAAAACACTACATTAAATATCACCGGGAGAGGCAAAAGGTACCAATTTGCTCTTTAACTTTTTGAATTTGAGGCGTTTTACCCTCTATATTACAATACATGGATTTTTACCTTCCATATTTTCGAGTTTGAGGAAATTAGATAAATTTAACGCCAGAGCGTCACGTGTAGCATGTGCATCATTGGCCTCTATCAAGTATGGCCTCTATCAAGTATGCACATGTTAGCACCAACTTAGACTTTTTTGACAACTTGGGATGCTAACTTGGACCCCCATGAGCGGGAAGTCTACCTGCTACTAATTTTATTTGTGGGCCCACCACTGACTAAAGGTTTGAAAAAAAAAAAAAAGACAAATGAATGCCAAGAAACCGTCCGACTCCAAGCATTTTGATCGAGAACAAAGAAAAGCTTCTATTAACCCCACAACCCAGAAAAGAACCATAGAAGGAAACAACTTTACCCCACCCACCAACCGAACGAATCTAGATTAAAGGAATAAAATAGAAAATTCGAAAGGGATCACAAAGCACAAACGATTCTGACACTGTTCTTGGTGCCATTGAAAGGTATTTTTCCTTTATTCTAACAAAATCTAGTTTAACTTTTACTGATATTTAGGATACAGGTCATGGACTTGTGTTGGAAGTGATATTTAATTAAGATTTAGGGTTTATATAGGATTAAAATAAATTTAAGTAGTGTTCGATGATTAAGGTCACTTTTTAGGGTTCTAGGTTTCATGTAATTCACTCAGTATTTAAATTGAAAAGTTATACTTTTCTGCTTTCTTTTGCTTTTTCTGTTAGTGTTGCATTCAATTTCAATCATAATTGTACAAATATTGAAGAAATTTTAGTTTAGGATTTATGCTATTACTGTATATTAGTTATTTCTAAATCTATAAATTTCTAATCAATAACTTGATTTATAGATTTAATGCTTAAATGTGTGTTAATTTATATTAATTTATATCTTTTTCTTCCCATATGACAGCAATGGGAACATTCAGAATTCACCATAGTGACACTTTTTGCATGAGTAGTAATAAGGATCTTAGGTATGCTGCAAGCGAAGTACATGATGAGGATATTGACTATCATTGTGCGACTTTGTCGTATTTAAAGGAGAGGGTAAAAAGCCTTGGATATATGCATTTTAAGGACATCTATTACAAAGATCCTTATGTGGAAAAATTTGGTGAAGCAGTAAAGGTTATAAATAGTAAGCAAGAGCTTATTCACATGCGGTACCTTTTAAATGAAAGGGGAATTATAGATGTGTACATTAAGCATTTCTGTGAAGAGCCAAACATTTTAGATTTGCTTGAAGGTGGCACTGTTCTACAAGAATCAATTGATGAAGGTACAATGGACATTGGGGAAGGTTGTGCGACACAAAATTCACAACTAGCCCCAAATTTTCATGAAGCTCTAGAAACAACAACTAAAGGTGATGCTGATGAAACAGATGCAATGCATGGAGGTGATGCAGCCCAACAAGAAGATCTACAGAAGAATGATCATGATCATGAGGAGTTGCCTGATATTGTGCATAATGATGTAGATGATGAGGATAATGAGGAAGGCTGTGTGACACAAAATTCACAACCAGCCCCAAAATTTCATGAAGCTCTAGAAAGAACAGTTGGAGGTGATGCTAATGAAACAGATGTAGTGCATGGAGGTGATGTAACCCAACAATAAGATCAAGAGAAGAATGATCATGATGATGAGCATTTGCTTAATATTGTGCCTAGTGATGCAGATGATGAGGAGGTGCTTGAATCTATTCGCAATAAAAAGAAACATAAAGCCAGTGCAAGAAAAAATGCAAATGGTGCTGGACCAAGCGGCACAGTTCATGACTCCCCTACCACAGTTAATGAAGAGGGTGAAAGGGTTCCTATAGGAACTGATGACCATGGAGATTTGGGTTCTGATTCTTGCTTTGAAAATAGTGAAGATGAATTTGAGGTTTCTAGTGATGATTTAGGTGAGTACAATGTTGAGGATGAACATGAACTTGAAGAAGAACAAGAAGAAGATATAAGAACTACTAGAAGTAGTGATTTATGGTTTAATCCTTCATGGACTACTGTTTGGTTTGAGGTAGGGATGAGGTTTGAGCATGTAGCACAATTTAAGGAGGCTATAGCTAAGTACCAAATTCAAAAAGGCTGTATGTTGAAACCTATTAAAAGTGAACCCACCAGGCAGAGAATTCACTGTGTTGGTCAATAGTGCAATTGGAGTATCTTTGCTAGTTTTGATAAAAATGACAAGACCTTTAAGGTGTAGACATATTGCAGCGAACACACTTGCTTTAAGAGTTTGAAGCCTGACATGGTTGGGTTGAAGATACTTGCAAAACACCATAGGAACAAAATTCTTGCAAATCCACAGATCAGAGTCAGTGAGATAATGAGATTGTCTCATTTAGAATTAGGAGTTCACGTTTCAAGGGATAAGTGTAAACTAGCAAAGGAAAAGATTATGAAGGAGGTGAAAGAAGCTCACACAAAGGAATTTGCTCAATTAAGAAGGTATGCAGAAGAGCTGTTGAGATTGTCCCCTCAGTCAAATGTTCAAATTGATAGTGAGCCACCCATAACTCCAGAAGGAAAACCTATGTTTAAAAGAATTTATGTGTGTCTAGAAGGATGTAGGAAGGGTTTTCTACTGGGCTGTAGACTAGTAATTGGAGTAGATGCCTGTTTCCTCAAGAAGATGTTCAAAGGAACCCTTTTGGCAGCTGTTGCAAGGGATGGGAACAATCAAATGTTCCCAATAACTTAGGCTGTTGTTGACTCAGAGTCTACCAACTCATGGACATTTTTTTTTAGATGCCTAGCTAATGATCTATCAAATCACACTAGGCGAGACTTAATGTTCATTTCGAACCAACATCTTGTAAGTGTGCACAATTTATTATGAATTAATTTATATTATCAATATGTTTATGTTACTCTAGTCATCCATGCTATTTATTGTATAATTCAATTGACTTTATTATCAGTCATTAACCTTATTTGTTTTCATTAAACACAATTTGGTAAGGATTGATTAATGCAAGACAAACAGTTTTCCTCGAGGCTAGGCATAGATTGTGTGCCAGGCATTTATATGCCAATTGGCAGAAAATTTTCAGAGGGAAACTATTGAAGAAAAGATTCTAGATTGCTGCAAGGTCAACATATGAAGGTCAATTCAACAAAAACATGGAGGAGATCAGAAATTTTAATTGTGGAAGGTCATGATGCCTTAAAATCAATCCCACCAGAACTATGGTGCAAGGCATTCTTTGACACATCATGCAAATGTGATGTGGTGGACAACAACATGAATGAGACCTTCAACAATTGGATAATGGATGCCAAGTATATACCAATCATCCAACTCTTAGAATATATAAGGGTTAAGGTGATGGTTAGGATGGCTAAGAACAGAGAAGAAATTAGCAAATGGAGAGGAGATATAGCACCCATAATTAGGAAGAAATTAAAAGAACATAAGATTGAAGCTGCCAAATGCAGATGTGAATGGAATGGCAGGACCCAATATGATGTTTGGCATTAGGATGACAAATTTGTTGTGGATTTGATTGGGAAAAAGTGTAGTTGTAGAGCATGGGATTTAATAGGAATTCTATGTCCTCATGCATTGTCTGCGATAGGTTTAGGTAACTTCGACCCAGATCAAATTGTATCAATTTGGTACAAAAGGGTTAAGTATGAACGTGCATACAATGTACCAATCATGCCTTGTAATGGTGAGAAGTTCTGGGAAAATTATCATGGGGAGCCATTAGAACCACTGCCATTTAGATGCAAGAAGGGTAGGCCTAAGGTGAATAAGACGAAAGGTGATAATGAAACCAGAAAGGTGAAGGTGGGACAGCTAGAAAAGATGACAAAGGAAGGTGGACAAATCACATGCTCACTTTGCAAGCAACTTGGACACAACAAGAGGGGATGCCCCAAAAGGCCAACTGAAAGTGAAGTAAGTTAATTACTTACACCTGCTTTATTATCAACAAATGATAATATAATTACATTTTTTTTTTCATACTCAATAGGGAGCATCAGCAAGCACTCACTAGCCAATACCAAGAAAACCTCCAACTTGTGGATATTGTAAACAGCCTGGTTACACCAAGACAACATGTACTGCTAGATATTTTGTTGATAAGAATGTAAGTTTATTGAGTGGTAATTGCTTAGGATCTATAATTTCCTATTAACAATGCTCTATTGCTAATTATGTGTGTCTATTCTTGTTGCTGTTTTTTTATTATGCAGTCTAGTCAATTTGATGGACTAGGAAGAAAGAAGAAGCACAGATTTGGTGAATACATTAATTCACCAAAATTGAACCCTGTGAGTTTAAGCTTAACATTCAACTAAGAGTGTGAATTGTGTTGATCATTTACTTTCTAATACTAGAATTTAATTTATGTAGCAAGGTTTGCAAGGGGAGACTACTATGAGACATACCTATCCTAGCCAATTTCATAAGGCACAGCCACCTCGGAATCAGCCAAGAAGAAGGGATCAAGTGAAGCTTGAGGAATGGTGCTTTTTTTTTTTTCTTTTGGTTTGATGCATGGGAGTAAAGAACTTTGGTTTAAGGTTGCAGAAGGTGTTTTTTGTAGGTAATATATAAATGCAGTAAATGCATGGAAACAAAGTGACTCACATGCTCTTGTATCTAATTTGGTAGGATCTGTATTTGGTAAGAATATGTAGCATTTTTTGATTTTGGATTTTTGGAGTATGGGATGAAATTATGGGAAAATGGTGGATATCTTTTTCTCTTGTCAGCTTTTGTGCAATCCTAACAAGATAATTGTGTAAATGTAACCCTTTTGGCTTATATTATCAATTAATGGTAAATGATATTTCCTTATTTATGTACCTTTTATGGTTGTTAATATTATTAATATTAATAGCACAAATAGCTATTTCCATTTGATTAATATTAAAAAAATGAGGTAACAATTCTGAAGAAATTAATTTATATTCATTATATCAATTAATGATAAGTGATATTTTACTTTTTATGGTTGTAAATATTGTTAATATTAATAGCACAAACAGCTATTTCCATTTGATGATCAATATTAAAAAAATGAGGTAACAATTTTGGAGAAGTTAATTTATATTCATTATATCCAAAATAAATTACAAAACTTGGGGAGAAATGAGGCCCCATATTAGAATTATTGCGAGCAGTATCTACAAACCTTCAACACTATCATTCAAGACAACCACATTGCCCACCAAAAAACAAATAATGCCCAAAAAACAAAACTATCCCCATTTGCCTAGTTTCTTAATTTCCAAGCCTTTTGAAACCCTTGTTCCCATCAACAAGTAGAACCCAACTCCTAAACAAGAAAAAAGCAAGTAGAATAGCAAGGAAAACAACCACAACCAAAGATATTTGACCACATTTCTTCTATTTCTCTAGCTTCACAGCATACACGATTATCATTGTTGCCAACATCTGCAAATCATTAACTTTCTTCTCCAATGCCTTAATTTGTTGCTTTCCTTTTTCTTCATAACGCTTTAAAACATTCTTAAGAGTTTTGATCCTTTCCCTTGCATCATCCAAATCAGTTTCCAATTTTGTCTTATTGTTGTGCAGCCACGAGATAACCTCCTTAGCCCTAAAAGAGAAATCTTGATCATACCACACAAAATACTTACATTGTCGCTTTTTATTCTACAAATGTCCAAAAATCACATTTCATTAACAATTAATCAAAACCCAATCTTTATGCCAAGCAAAACCCTAAACATTACCCCACAATACCTGCGACATATCTTAACAAAAAAACCCCTAAACAACACACTAGTTTAAAATCAAACATTAGGAAAGAAATTACCATGGGATCATAAATTGGGCATCTAAAAAACCTTCGACCAGGATTCTTTTCGCTCCAAGACATGATCCTCAGAGCCTTCAAACCACAAAACCAAAACCAATTTGGCCCCTCGTAATAATACTCGTGTCTTCCAAATTCCACCAGTGCTGAAGTGTGAGAGCTGCTGGAGCTAGCCATTGAACAAGGAAGTAAATGAAATGGGCGTGAATCTTAAGATCAGAGAAGAGAAGGAAACTCAAAACTCTTTGTGCCTTAGGGATCATTTAAATAGATTCTTGGCATTCATTTGTCTTCTTCTTTTTTTTTTTTTCAAACCTTTAGTTAGCAGTGGGGCCCACAAATAAAATTGTTAGCAGATAAACTTCCCGCTCATGGGGGTCCAAGTTGGCATGCCAAGTTGTCAAAAAAATTTGAGTTGGCGCTGACATGTGCATACTTGACGGAGGCCAACGGTGCACATGCTACACGTGACATTTCGGCATTAAATTTTGCCTCATTTCCTCAAACTCGAAAATATGGAGGGTAAAAATCCATATATTATAATATAGAGGGTAAAATGCCTCAAATTCAAAAAATTAAAGGGCAAACAGGTACCTTTTGCCCGCCGAGAGAAGACAAAATTAGTTTTGAGTTAATTTTACCATTGAGTCCTGAGTTTTTCTCAATTTTGATATAACAGGGCACCGCATGCGCTATCAAATTTAGTTAATATTTTTTTTGAACCTCCAAACTTTACATAAATGTGCAATTAGATCCATATTTTTTATGGAATGAAATTAGATCTATTATCATTCAATTTGGTGCCCCTTCCGATCCAAGTTAATTCTCACTTTAAATGCTTTTAAATACGTATTTGATGATGACAAAATAGAATAAAATATCTCCTTTTTTAAGGAAAAAAATGTAATACTAATATTGTCTGTCTTATCTTATCATGTAACGAAATTATTTCTCCACTACACGAAAGAATTGGTTAAAAATGAAGAGAAAAAATAAAACAAAAATCCCATGCTCATTGAGTAGAAAGCTGGAGTGCAAGTATTTGCAAAAATGAATGCCCTTTTTTTTTTTCTTACAGTCACAAAGTTTATTCTCCTTCTATGGTTGCATGCCAGGACAATGTCAACAAACCTAATCAAAACCTTTCATTTCCCTCTTGTCACCAAAGACACCAACTTGTAGCCAAACATAAGCAACCCGGAGCAATAAAAAGCACTTGCATTCAAGCTAGGAAAGATGATGACTGACCTCACTCAAACTAAACGTCAATACTTGGTAGTTGGTTCAACTGTGTTATTCAAGTTGACAGTGTGAGTAACTTAGAAAGACCCTAATGCTTAGTTCGCTATAAATGTTTTCTTCAGCATCATTAAGAATGTTGACGGTCTTAAGTAGCTGTTTAAAATAACGACATCATCAATCTAAGGTAATAGGGAATAGAAAAGTGCAGTTATCAAAAAATAATTCTCACTAAATCAAGAAATATCATGCAGGTAAAAATAATCTTCTTTATATAATTATTACCTTAGACTAGTTGGAGACATGCAGATAGAATCGTTTCAAAGGTGAAATAGACAAACCATATTATCATATTCAACAGGGTATGATGGATATGATGGCTTTCATGTTTCAGTACTGAGAAAAATTCTTCTATCTACAATTCCCCAGCAATATCTTTCCAAACCTATTTAGTTGAAATTGAAGCAGAGCTTGCTGCAACCTTTGATATTAAGGATATTGGATGACGAGCTTGTAGGCAAGCACCTATATCAAAAGGGTTCAACTCAAACCATCAAATATAAGATTACCTCTAGGAAGGATTGTTTATCTATTGTTAGTTTCCTTAGGATCAACTTTCATTATACTTATTCTTTGCGTGTTGTTAATAGGTCTTGTTGCAGCTTCATATACAGAACTTAGAGCATATGATCTACAAATATCATTACAAAATAAAAAGTGTGTCAGCAAAAACACTAGGAAGAAGAAAAAATTAAGAACTAAACCACCACAAGTAAGAAGCAAGAAGACTACTTCAACAAACCTAAGACTGTTACCATCAAAGCTTAAAACTTCAATGGGACAATGGTTGCCACTGGCAATTTTTAACCTTTGATGCCAAATTAGTGCTCCAAATATAGGAGAAAAAAGATCAACCAAAGGATTCCAGCTTCTACTAGCATACTTCATAAAATATCATGGTAAGTCCCTTGATTGCTCTTTTTGGTGAAGAAGTTTTGCAGCAGGACCTGTTGCTTGATACTCTGTGCAAACATCACGCATTGAATCCTGATGTAAAGTAAGGGAATCTGCTTGAAGTAATTGTGATGAGACAACCCTACTACAATATTGTTGCATAATTTCAAATTGAAAAGTGGCATCCCAAATTCCACACCTAATGGAACCCATTCATACTTCTCCTCATCAGGTGTAAAGTGATCTGATTCTCTTTCTTTAAAAAGTTTTAATACACAAATGTAACGAACTATCCACAACTCTATCTTGTTAGCCAAATCAATTAATAAAAAGTTTAGTTTTGAACATTCTGCCAAGCATAAACCCAATTCAATTCCTATATGATTGATAGAACCATCAGAGTTCTTTAGGGGCAATGTTATATCCATTGTAACAATTCTGCCAGATTCATCGAGGTCATATCTATTGAGGGGTTGAACAATTAAAGCAAAGCATTTAAGAAGTGAATTTAAACAACGTAGTAATATTCTTCCCTTGACCAAATTTCCCTCCAACTTTCCTCCTAAGCCCTCAATTGTGGAACTATCCCAAGTCCATATAAAGGTTTTCTCACAACCAGCTAGTGGTGCAGGAAGTATGTGTAGACATTGTCCTTTCATTAAAACAACCGATAAAGGCCCACCAGCCACGGTTGAATAAAGAACCAATTTCATCCATGGTGTCATAGATAAGGGAGAGGGAGGACCAAAATGAATAGGTCCTGTTAGTCTAGGAAGAATAGAAGAATAGGGGAGGAAAACCATAGAGACCACAATTCCATGGTCACGAAGGAATAACCGCTTTAAGGTTGCTTTTGGCAAGGCAACCAAGCTTTCATAACGAAGGATATCCACTCGATATTTCTTTTTCCTTCTTAATGTTCCTTTGCCAGAGTCAGAACCCTGGCTTGGTATCAGTTTCTCATCATTCTGGCCATTTAGATTAGATTTAGAAGTTATGTCATCACCTACAAATTTAGCTACAGGTTTAGCCGAAAGAGAACCTTCTTGAGGCATCCTCGAATTTATACACTCATAAGCATCTTTTCCAACTTCACTTGTATCAGAGTGTTCTAATTTGTCAATCAATGAAAAGTCAACAACAAGAGACGCAAACGCATTGTTGTTTAAAGCCAACCTTCCTATCTTATCACAAACTTCCACAACTGTAGCATTGGTGGGAACTCCACCTGATAGAAGACATTCCAAAACACAACGGAGACTAAATGCATGATTTGCAAATTCCTACAACTCTCCCTCAAAATTTTTCCCCTCAATGTACTCAGATCCTTACAAAGATCTGCAAGACTATCATGGCCCACTATTCTCGCTTCATAAAGTGTTACAGCATGGGATGTCAAGCCTGGAAAACCATTAAAGAGAAACACAAATGGTGACCATAAGGTAGATGAAAAAACATCCAAAACTTTCACGTGTAATGCTAGACTTAACATCCAAATGTGCAGTGATTTATGCCACAGTTTTCTTCATAGGGAAAGAGTTGTCAGAGAAAAATGAATTAAAATTCATATAATTCCCACTCTTTGAACCTATAATAGCATGAGGACCACCCAGAGAGAAAAATTGAAAGTGAAGCAGCTCGCTCCAAAAGCCACGGCAACCAGTAGAAAAACCATTTAGGAAGAACTACCACTTCATGCTCCCCAAATTTTGTTATTACATGCTCCTACACCTACTTGGCTACTTAAATTGTGCCCTTTTATGGTCATCAAATGCAGCATCATGACGTAATGGTACAAACCCTGCACTCACTAAAATGGTGGTGGTACAGCACATAACATTTACACTTTATCCGAAATCATTATTTATTAAGTTTCAGAATACTAAGCAAATGCAAGCCTACCAACTTCCTTATCATTTTGCACTAGTAGTTAGATATTCAGAAAAGAAAATAGATAAATATGAAATACAGTTACTCAAGCTAGATGTTCAAAAGAAGAAAAGTGAAACGCAAAAGAATAGAACAATAAGGAACAAACCTGGTGAAGTAGAGCCCATCATGAGATAAGATGTTATATTAGTGTCAACAACAAAGGCAACCCAAGAATCACTAGAATGTGACCTATAGTTTTTTGTCCCTAAAAGATCTCCTAGTTGAGTAGCATCTCCATCAGTGGACATGTTTGTTGAGCCCATACTATTGAGAGAAGAATCATCTTCATCAGTAAGAGTGACTCTAATAGAAGCAAGTAGTTTTGCATCTTAAAGAACATATGAAGGATCAATCACTTTTTCTACCCATCCCAATCTGCAAACGAAAGATGCAGCTGCTTGTAATTGACTAAGATTAACCTGCAATGTTGCTACCAACTCAGCAACAGTTGAATTCTCATTTGATACAACGAAGACTACATACAATAACCTGAATAATGAACTTAACCTAAAATCTTTGCTCTATGGCTACTAAACTAACATTGAATAAACAAATAAAAGAATTAAGGCCTTACACTTCAATAGGATCTTCATAAGACTGTTCCTTGTTTGAAACAAACCCTTCAAGCCTGGAAACTAAACTGCCATAAATATCAATAATTAAATACATGAACTCAAACAGGAGAGAAACTAAAGTTTGAAGTAGAGCAACCAACTAGAGCTTAGCTTTTTTATAGCCACTATATTGAAAACCTTGATTCTAGGTCAAGGTTGGTAGTTCAAAGAGGTAAATGCTAATAATTCTAACAATTCCTCATACATTAGAAAAATTTAAAGTAGAGTAAGTCCTTCCATTATCAAATTTAAAGAAGATGTAAGCAGTGTTAAGATAAATTAATGAATTTTTGATATGTTTGATAAAAAAATAATAGTAAGAGAGTGAGAGATGACAAAAGTGTATATCTATTTGTAGCAACGTTGACATATAGCACTAGCAGAATCAACTCTAATTGTAAAGATAAAATTAGATAAACTGTATGGAACCTTATTTAACGGGAAATTCTAAGCAACTTACCTTTAAATTGGTCATCAAGATAGATGGGGACATCAAAGTAGACCAAGCCCCCTTAATAAAGACCCTTTATAACATTAGGATCAAACAGGATAAAAACACTAGCTTCTTCCTTGCATATTTTATCTATTGTTGTTGTTTCTTCTTCAGAGAGTTTCTATAAAAGTGACAAAGGAATACTGTCAAAATCAATAACAAGTTTAACAAAAAAAAGTACCAAAAATATGAGGTATGTATAATTACTAGATCATAATGTCAAGTAAATCTAAAGAAAACTCTTTTAGATCATAAAGGGAAGGGGCCATCAAAAGCCTACCTTGAATTCTTCCAAGTTAACAAGATAAACTCCCCACCAAGGTTTGATAGGAAAGTCCACAAGTTGTGTAGGTAACAGTTCTTTTCCGATTGACTTGTTCAACTTCCACATGATGCTCTGGACAGCTCCACAAAAGTAAACACCAAGTAAGACAATATTGCATATATTCAATTTCAGATTACCACTAGCAAATTGCAAATGGCTCAAACATATGCATTTAGTCTATCCTTCAAAATGGTTAAGTCATGATCCAATAAAAAATTTCAAACAGTGTACTTCATGTAACTTAAAATTTTGATGAAATCAGCACAAGAGAAAACGACAAAAAGTTCGTCAAACCTATTTACATTTGACAATCCTCAACAAAGTAGCATCAGTAGTCTTTAAGCACAAGTTCCATTAAACACAAGAGATATAAATAGATTTAGATTCATACTAAATTTTGTTTATCAATTAGATCCATACTACAGAAAGAAGAAAGTCTAAGATTAAAATAATATTCATTACTGTGGTTCTTGCCAAGTAAGATCAGTCAGCACAACAACCTTAAGCCTTAAGATGCATCACATATTATGGTTTGGAGTCTAGACATCCTTTACCTTTAAGTTGTACAATTACAAAAGAAAAGGCAGTTATTTTGCCAATCCTTATTGAAACAAAGAATAGAATTATAAAAGAATTGATTCAGGCTATATTAACATGCCTTAAAAGATGTGTGAATCAAAGCACAGAAGTTTGTTTGATATAGTGTATTTGTGGCAGGCATAAAATGCATGACAATGTTCCAAGCACCCACCACTTTCCCCACCCATGCACACATGCTATGTGTATCTGCAAGAAGAAAGGAAATATGCTTTTGTACCTTAGATCTACACTTGTTCATGATATCAATAAATTCATTTCTCCCAATTCCTATAAGACGCAAAGCATCTGCAGCATTGAAATTTGGGATGTTGTCATATTGTTGCTCTGTGAATGGTATGTAAACATGACACCAAACTAATCCATCAAGCAACAGCAACCAATGAAGGCAAACACTGTGTCACATAAATAATCATTGCAGACAAACACAATAAAAAGGTAAATTTATTAAACAAATAGAAAACCGAATATAGACACATAAAAGATAGAAAGAAGCATTATACCATTTTTCATGACTTCAAATATAATATCACAGTAATGTCGGGAGGAGAGATCCTCATTACACGGCAAACATACTCCGCAAGGTGATAGAGGAATAGCTGCAAGCAAAAGTTAGGAAACAAACCTCTGTAGATGTTAAAAATACTTGCTAGTATTCTATAAGGCTAAAAGTATAGATAAGTAGACAAAACATGATATTGTTTCATAATAGAAAAGTATTTATTTTTTGACCATTAAGATTTTCTCATTTGAGTTCCAAAGCATGAAAGCAATTTTTTCTCTTTTTATTTTGGCTTAGGTCAGAACAAGTGTTGACATGTTTCGTAACCATCATCACAAAACAAGAACAGCTAGCTTATCAGAATGACATGTATCAAGTGAAAGAAGTAAGAAGAAAATGAAAGAAAAACAACTTGCTAATTAAAACACTTTCACTTTAACACACACCACTAGATTCTTTCGCAAGTAACGCATTATTTCTTCATAATATCCACCTTCCTTGCATACTTGGCGAGCAAAACAAGTATTCCATTGGAGCCTTTTCTTGATGCAGTGCTCAATAATTCTAAGCAAATTTACCATAGGAAAATAAAGAGAGTAAGATCAATCAATAAAAATTTTCACAAAAATTATGAATTCCATTGACAAACAAAGAGCATTGTTAGAAAAGGTGAAGCAAGGCCTAAAAGAGAAGCCACTCTAATGTTCTATGCCATTCTTCCTTAGTATTAAAAGTGTCCTGAAGCCTTTTGGGCAGACTCTGCCATTGAGATTCTTCCCTTGTTGTTTTCAAAATCAATTGTTCCTTGACAATGGTCGACATATGGTGCATCTTGACAAATCAATTAACGTCAAATCTGCAGAGAAATCAACAGTAATCAAAACAATCGCCATTGTACCAATTTCAAATTGCATTCATAGTGTTCCAATGCAAAACAATGAAGAGAGCATTGAAAACGTTGATCGTTACATATAATTCGCAAATTCTGATTAAATAAATGATCATCTGAAATGCAAGTTCTGGATCACACCTGAAAAAGGAAGGATGAGAGAGAATGCTTGATTTTGGTTGCGATCGAAGAATAGAAGATCAACTAGGGTTTATAAATCGGGGATGACCTATCTAGGAAAATTCCATTACATGCATGGCTCATGGCTACATTATGACAAGTGTAATCCTTTGGTCGATTTGGATTTTCAACTCGTAACTGAAGTGGGGAATGGTTGTAGTAGTAAGAATTTTCTTGCTGCTTTGTCTTCTTGTTGTTTTTTGGTACTAACCTTTCAATATTCGATAACCACATTGAATCTCGATTAATCTGGAATTGAACTGTGTCAGAACCCATTAGAGGAAACTCTTCCTATTTCTTTATTCACAAGACTCTAACTTAAAATCTTATTTAAAAGAAACCAAACTTCTTCCACCCAAATCAACAGGTACTTTGTTGATTGTTTTCTTGTTGTTTGAACACGAGTTTCGGGTTGGTGCATTGTTGGTAATATTTGGGTACAACGAGCTCTAGTTGGATCCATAAATCCCCCCTAAACTTGTTATCTTTAGCGCATTTATAACCCCTAAACTTAAAGCTTGAAAGTTCAGGTCCCTCCACTGTAAAAGCTGACTAAGAAATGACCCTTCCACTAAACTACCATTACAAGGTAAAAAGGAAAAATTGTTGTTAAGTCTTTTAAGTAAGAATTTCAAAATAGCACTTTGAAATACAAGTATAAATTAAAAAGGGAAATTCTTCGAAAGGAGAAAAACTTTTAAAAACTATAAAAACTACAAAAGGAATCCACTTTGCCCATTGAGAAAATTAAAGTTAGAATGCACCTGTTGGATTTGCAAAGAAAAAGAGCATATAGCACCTGATTGCTGAAAAAAATTCAAAAGCAATAGCACCTGATTGGCAAAAACTATACACATGGCTAAGGAAAAAGGAAAGTCACTAAACGTTGAGGACAAGTTAGTTGCAATGTGGGACGAAAGAGAGTCATCAACATCCAAAGCTATGATAGATGAAGGAGAATCGTCAATATCTAGGGCCATAAAGTAGGAAATGACCATAAAAAAAACAAATAATATCTCATAAGACAATAATTATGATGATAGCTACTATTGGAAGAACATAATAGATGAGAAGTGACACAACATCGAAAATATGATAAAAAAAAAAAACGTAAAAGCCATGAGGCAATCTTATCACATGATGGACAACCATATAATTGTACTAAAAATAGAATTAGTAGACCCAAAGAAGATCATTAGAATGAAACCTAGTTCACCTTCTATAGTTAAAAATCATGCAGAAATAAATATTAAAAAAAAAAAAGGAAAAATAAGAATAGTGATAAATTATAAAACCTTAAATCAAGCTACTAAGTTTAATAGTTATTTTTTACTAAATAAAAAAGTATTATTAAATAGTATTTAAGGAGCTAGTATATTTAGTAAATTTGATTATAAGTCAAGATATTGGTAAATAAAATGACAAGAAGAGTTAATTTCAATAATAATATTTAGTGTACCTCAAGAATACTATAAGTTTAGAGTAATGCCATTCAAATTATGCAATGCCCCATAAATATTCCAAAAGAATAGAAGGAAGTATGCCCTGTTAGCTGACAAGTTACTTTGGGAACAACATATCTATAAAGTACAAAAGTCTATAGTTTTAGAACAATTAAAAATAATAGCATTTGGACTTAAGTGTAATATTTAAAGAACCTTAGGAACCTGTAATTAAATAAGAAAAATTCAAAAACAAAAAATTGACCGTCAAAGTAAAAAATCTTGGTCAAAGTGCTAAAACGTTTAAAACCTCAACTTATAACTTGAAGGGTTAAAAGTCTTAAAGCCAAAAAATTTAAGGGTTTTCAATGAACATAGCTTACGAATATTAAGGGTCCTCAACTATACGGCCGGCTAATTGAGGCTCAAAGTTAAAGCTAGGATACTTTTTTATTTCAGGCATGTTTGGTACAACGGTTAAAATTTAACGGATAATGAATAGTAGATAATAGATGGCAGATGGCGGATAGTGGAAAGTGGATAGTGAATGGTAAATAATGGATTTGATAAAAATAACTGTTTAGTTATACAATAGTTAGCAATTGTTGTTTAATATTAAATGAGTAATAAGTACATATTTAAAAATAAATAAGTGTAT